TTGGGGGAAGCTGAATTCAAAGTTTAAGGGCTAATGATAAGTATCATAAATCCTGCCTTTTGAAATAAAAGGTTTCAGTTGCCTAAACAAATCATCTTCAACGTAATGACTTGTTTAAGCAAATAAAATGGAATTTCTAAATTGAAGAAATTGTCACTCACTAAAGATGTTCAAACAAGATATCCAACAGATTTTCAGTAAGTCTAGCACCGCCTTTTGTTTCCCTCTAATAAGATTGGTTTCTAACATTTTCCGTATGTTCGGCCCCATGTACACTGTTTGGGTTCTTGACAGGGCATAAGTTCACTGACCTTATGCATCACAAGTTTTCTCATATCGTAACTTTTTTAATTGGATTTTTCAGCTCCTTTGCATTCCATTTTACCTATTTTTACTAATTTAGGAATAATTAATTAAACATTATTTATGTTCTCTTTTTTCGGGTTATCACTCCATAATGCACTCTCTAAAAGTGTCCTTAAAAAAAGGAACTGATTTGAGAAGGATAATCCAATATTTATTTATTTATTTCAAATGTCAGGCGATTTTATAGTTATCATTAGCCCTTTAGTTGACTTCGGGCTTCACAGAAGAGAGGAACATTAAAGTGGGAAAAATTCGACAGGTGAAAAGAAGAGCGATTAACAGATGTAAAAGAGACAGACAGACACAAAGGCGCAGAAAGGGTAAGATGAGTACTGTGTAAGGGGTCGAATATGACAAACGGTCGGGTCATAGTAGTTTTAAGTCAGAAGTCAACTGCCGATTAATAGACATTTTTGCCGTGGGGGTAAGTCTATTGTTCACCCCAATTATCCAATATAATGGTATGCAAGAAGAGCATGACCACAAAAATAGAGAGTAGGTATTCATGAAGTCTAATTACTTGTTTGTCGCTGGGGCTTGATTTGAGCTACAAGTTAGCTCCACTGATTCTTCGTTGATTATTCTTTCGTGCCGATAGTTTGCACTCATTAAATGATAGTACCCCTTTGAGTGGTGTTATCATACTGTTTTTTCATCCTCTCCATAACTACATCGTATGCTTTTAACAATTATCAGAAAAAATGAAAGTTGTAGAACCTAACCTATTCCGTGAGTTTATTGAGGATATGAAGTATTATTAGTTACTTATTTGAGAGAAAGTTATCATCATATCACAATGATCACAAATTCCTGAAAGTGGAGATGGGTTGAGTCCATGCGACTTAATTGTCCCTGTACACTCATGATGTTTAACGAGATTGTTAGGCTAGTTTGTTTCCGTTTTCTCGGTGGTAGCGTGTAGATTTACCGCTTCCTAACTGAAGTTATCATAACTTTAAGTGAATCCTCTTTGGTTTTGAAGGGTGGAGAAGGCCACTATTAAATGATAAAAGACTTTCAAAGTAGTCGAATTCTAATAATGATCAATTTTTGATTCTCCAAATAAGTTAACTTGAATCCCTGTATGCTTCACATAGTGCTGAGGCCGTAATAGTAAATTGTTAGATGAAGGACTTTATTTTTCTTTTTAAAACCCATCTTAGTTCACGCTTAATCGAAAGGCAATTTTATTATTGACTTAAGCACCTTTTCTCAAAACTAAGGGAAACTGGTGTTTTCTTTACCATCGCCCTAAGTCGATTAGACTAAGTGAATTGCTTTATGGGAAAAAAATATTCTAATTTGAAACTCAGGCTCTATTGTGAACTGTGATTAGCTAGCTTCTTTTCTGTATTCACTTGATCAGGAAATGTGGTTTGAAGTTCGTATAACACGAACCTGGGGTAAAATTTTCTAACAAGGATGCGTTCACTGGAACGAAAATCGACATTGAGTTGTGCGTACTAATGAGTAAATAATTAACATCATTGCATTCTTTTAACATAGTAAATTGAATTTAAACACGAAATGATGTTTTGAAGGGATGAAATAGAATAACACTTTACACATTTTCTCAGTCTTTTTATTTCAGCAAAGGAAATGGTCTTTTTCGTCGCTTGTACGCACTTCATACGAGCGAAATACGATGAGGGTAACAATATGACCTTTTTGGAATGAATGTCAAGATTTTAAACAAAGGATTTTATTTCGGTTAGGTAAAGTAAGAATTAACAGGCAACTAAGTATATAGATTTCATTAATTAGTGAACGAAATAAAATAAACTAATGCGCAAAAATCTTGACCTAAGATATGTCTCAATTGTTTTGCCAAACTTCATGTATATTTAGATGATGGTTATTAAGAATGCTATTACGATAATATACTAAAAAAGAACAATAAAAGGTTATATTACTCAAATGAGACTGGTCCATGCTACATTCCTTCAACTTCTTCCTAAATTTCATAAATTTTCATTCTATTAAATAAAAAATTTTTCGTTAAAATGCCTTTCTTTAGCTTAGTTTATTGCTTTTCTTTGTTGCTTCCTTTTATACTGTCTACGTCCATCTATTATGGTGAATCTCTCTTCTTCAAAACTTACTCCCATCTTCTTCCACAGTAGTAATGAAATGTTAAGTTCGTTTCTGTGATAAAACAGAAATACACTAAAAATATTTTATGAATTTCATCACTACATTAATGGTCAAAGAATGACAGTACTCGAATAAATAAACAAAAAAGATTTAAATAAACTCAATAGACAAGGAAACTAAGCTGATGTACAGGAGTTTTACTGAAAATAATTTCTATTAAAGACTTAATCTAAAGCCAAAAACCTAACCAGCTGATTCTAAACTGCCTCTCTTCCATTAGCAGGACTTCAGCGACTTTCTCGACGATGCCAAATATGTGGATAATATTCCATCGGGCTAAAATAATCCAATCACCAAACATATGGCCTATTATTGTCTACCCTCTTTTAGTAACCATGACTAAACTACGCCAGTGATAATCAATTCCACTTGGGAACCTGCATAAACTTTGAGACCACTTTCAATTTTTGCCGTAGCATCAAGTTACCCTTGAAGGAGGATACCTATGAAAACCACGCTGGTATGGAGAAATTGAGACTTATTGGCTCGAGGAGCGTCTCTCGAACTCCAGATTCACACTGTTTACTTATGGTCTCTGTTCTCTATCATCTTTTTTCAATACACAGTGTACTCCGCTTCTGACAAACAGATATTCAGTTGGACGAAAACTTGTCGAATTATTAATGCTTCAATTTATAGAATCACTTTAACTCTAACGTACCTTGAGTATGGGATAAATCTGACAGTATCTTCAGAAAAGCTGAAACGAAACCGATAACGACAAAATGTAACGCATTGAAGCCAACTTCGGTTTTTCTTAAAATAATCGCCACTATGGTGTCTATTGCAGAGTCAATCTACCCCGGAACCTAAACCAAGCTGACCTTATACTGTCTCATTGGAAAGGATCGCCAGAGCTCCCTCCATTCTATGCATCAACTGGGCTTTTGTAGTGCTGGCACATCGACTGATATCTTTCAGCATAGCACCCAATACACACACACACAATAGTCAATTTGGCTACGATCTAGGAGTTAGGGCGGAAGTGTGGGCTTGGTGACCAAAAATTGGGATTGACATAGTCATAGAAAAGGGATTGCAACCATTTTCGATTCACTCTGCAGTATTGCATGTGGCTGAATCCCGCTGCTAACCTCATTGGCCAAGGCTTACTTACTACCTTGGTCAGCAATTCTAAGGCCCTCTTTAAAATGTGTGGAGCCATCGCATCTTGCTCAAATGAGTGCACTCCCGAAACCCATGACAGTTTAGGGAAATTTGGTCCCCAGAATTCGAGGAGTGCCCCTTAGACTCTACGTCCAGCCAAGCCACCTCCTATTCTGCAAATTGTGCTTTTCGACAGCTGACGCTTTTTTGTCATCGGAAAAGGGTCAACTCGCTTGAAGATCAGTAGGAAGTTTCATGTTGTTCAAAAGTTTCGTCCTCTTTATCAGACCACTTTCGTGGGACTTTTCTGAGAGAAGTTAACTACTGAGACACTAGTGTGAACCCTTAGTTGTATGGAAATCCATTGAGTGCGGGCTTCATGGTAGAGACTGAAGCATTCATTTAACTATAATGACAAAGCCGGAATTTCGGTGCCAGAGTGCTCAAACACTTTCTGCTGTGCGTGTTCATGAATTTCAGATGGTCTGCTATGTTGCTTTCTTCTGGCCATTGCAAGTCCAAACAAACCTAATATTAGGTTGGCAACTAAGTCATTGCCGATTTCAAATAAGAAGGCATATTCGGAATTTTGTTTAAAAATATAACTTTATTCAATTAGATATTGGCCGTTCTTGTCGATGACCTTTTTCCATCGTTCTGGCAGAGTAAAAATTCCCCCTTCGTAAAATGTCTGGACTTTGCTATTAAAAAACTGAATTAGGTGTGATCCGACATCATCCGCGTTGTTAAAAATTTTACCATTTAAGGAGTTTTACATGGAACGAAACAAATGGTAATCCGAAGGCGCAAGGTCAGGGCTATATGGTGGGTGTGACAAAACATCCCAACCCAGTTCCAATAATTTTTGCCGAGTAACCAAAGATGTGTGGGGCCTTGCGTTATCATGATGGAAAACAACACCTTTCCGCTGATTTGATAATGCCGGCCGCTTATCTTCAATTGCATCCTTCAGTTTTTCGAGTTCTTCAACATACACATTTGAATTTATCGTTTGGTTCTGCGGCATGAGTTCAAAATACAAAATTCCTTTGTGATCCCCCCACCAGACTGACAGCATAATCTTTTTTTGGTGAATCTCTGCTTTTGATACTGTTTGGGCTGGTTGATCTTGCTTCACCCATGATCTCTTGCGAGTAACATTGTTATNTCATTCTCATTGCGTTTCAGTAGCGGCGAATCACAGATGCTAATCCGTTGCGTCAAATGAATTTCCTTTAACTGGTGAGGGATCCATCAATCAAGTTTCTTGACATAACCAAGGGTTTTTAATTTTTTCAATGCATGTATGCGACACATTGAGCAGCTTCTCTGCAATATCTCGTGTTGTGCTGTGACGATTTGAATCGATAATGGCCTTGATATGGGTTTCATCCACTTCGACTGGGCGGCCAGATCGTTGTGAATTGTTCAGTGAAAAATCACCGGAACGAAATCTTTCAAACCAATTTCGACACTGCCTTTCTTTTAAGGCTTCAGCTCCATATACGGCACATAACTTCTTTTGTGCTTGCGATGCGTTCTTGCCTTTTCGGAAGTAATACAATAAAATGTGTCGGAAGTCCACGTCCTGTTCTTTCATTTTTAAATTGGGATAAAAACAAAACTAAAGAACTAAACAAAAAAATTTTTACTAATTAACCTAGAAGCCCATACAGTAAGAAAAAATATAGGTTAGATGCTCTGGCCACGTTAACAAAACAAAAGAAAGTATAGAGTGAATCTGTCAACAAAAACGGCAATGACTTAGTTGCCCACCCAATAGTATGTCAAATAGTTGGTATTGAGAAAAATTACTTCAATTAGTTGTGTCGACTTAACGCTAATTGTCTGACGAAATGCACGTGACAAAACCTTGAGTGGTCAGTGGTGTCAGAAAGTAAATGAACGATTTAATTATAGTTATTCAGGAATTTTGTTTCTTTAATTGAGGCAGGTATGTGTAAAATCAACATAGATCATAGAATAACCCAGAACAATAAAAAACTTGTCCATTGGAAGATCAAAAAGATCATGAACTTAGAAAGAAAATTGAATACTTGAAGGGGAGCAAATGACAGACTCTTGGAAATCACTGAATGCATTTAAAAGTAATCTCAGAAACTAATGACAACTTCTTTTGTAATTAAGTTAACAGCTTTAACGTTTCTCTGATTTATTCAATTTCCGTGTTTTAAGCTTATTTATTTTAGAAAAGTGTTTAAACATGCATTAACACATTCACTTGAATTATTTATGATTTGCTTTACTTAAGGGCGTGGTCTATATTGCATTATATAAACTGGGTAAAGGAGGCAGCTTTAGTAAGGGCTAGAAGACGTGCACACGCACACTTCACTTGCCTGGCATGCCACTACCAACACCACCCCAAATGTCCTTTTCAACCCTCTCCGTCATTCTCGGGTCTATTTTAAATTTTCGATCCACCCTTATCGTGCACTACCACTAGCCTGCGGCCAAGTATGCCCTTTAAAGAGTGCAATACTTGCATTCGTCCAAGTTCGAATCTGGAACGAAGTGGTCACTCCCAAACAATTCCCAGCCCTATAAACTTGCCATGGCTGTTGCGAGGCGCTCATGAATACAAAAAATAAAGACATTGAAAACTAGTTTAAAGAATTGAAAACATAAATTATATATCACTATCATCCTAAAAACAAGACATCACTATGTGCAAATAGAACATCTTATTATGACTTATGCTAGCCAACTTAGTTAAGTTTATTAATAATTATTTTAATTTCTTTGTATATTGAGCTATAATATTTCATTTAGCAATTATGGTTCATTGCCTGGTTGTGGTAAATATCAGACAAATATGTTTTGACTTGTACGTATATGAGCCGTCATGGAGTTGCAATGCGGTTTAGCAAGAGCAAATTTCAGATTCCCATCAGCTATATCCACACCAACCTCGAATGTTTTGCTCTTTACTTGCCTCACTGTTGTCACGATGCGTATCGCATTAAACAACAATTCGCTAATCCATTTATCCACGTACAAATCTTAACTAGTAATAACTCTAATAGATGTGCTACTTCACAGGAAAAAATTAATCAGGTATAGATTCTGATCTAGTTTTTAAAATAAACACAACTTAAAAACGATTTTCATATTTGACTTGATTCGTCAAGAAGCTTGACAGCTTCATTAGGAGCATTGATGCCCTCACGATTTCATCTCATTGAATACACGCCGCAATAATACGGGAAAATAGAACGTATGGTGTGAAAAGTATTTATTCTAGTGGCGTAATACTTCCACAAAGTTTAGTTATTGAAATATAACTATGTTAGCAAACACTGTAGTGACCATTGATTGCCAGTTGGCTTAAAGGCTCAACACGCACGACAGCACATGCTCTCTAACATGATCAGCAACTCTACAGTACCTTGGGTCTGTTCGACTACGCATGACATTCCTCTGCGCACACTAAGTAGCCCTGTGCAATCCACAGAGGATTAATGGAAACAATTATGAACAATGTTTCAAACAAAGAGTAATCTCGGGGAAGAGATGTGTATTAATGTAACGGGAAAAATGTTAAATAAGTAATTAAAGTTCTGTATGGTAAGTAAACATCTCCAGTCTGAATCTGTAAAATTAACAAACAAATTATAACTTCGTTATCCTCTAACGTTATAAGCATGATAATGGTGTCATAATTTATACAAATATAATATTATCGATCGGAAAATCAATTTAATTTTTATTAGGTTTACATTTTGTATCATTTATTGTTTTTTATTTCATCAATGATTTTTTGGTTCTCCTAAATATAATATTGGAAAATGCAGAGTAAACAATAATAATCTATGAAAATAAATTGATAATGTCTTGTCTTTAGTTTTTTAGACACAGAAAAGTCACATAGATGTAAGCATGGGCGATGCATTCGAATACTTAATTTTATATAATGAAACAGAAATACAGCTAATCTAAACATTATTCATGAAATGCAATTTATTTTAAGGAATAACTTAGGGCGAGAAATTCATTTCATCGAAAGCGTTAGAATAGTAATATTCGAATATTTTAAATATTGAATCGTTTTATTCGAGCACTATCTCAATTTATGTAGACCGCACATAATTCAAGTAGGCTTAGTCCCTGATGAACTGTTCTACTTTAGGCGGTAGCTTCCGTTGAATTTCTTAATGACGTTTATTTTGGTTGTTGGCTCTTGTTCCGAATCCCTATACTTTCGAGCTGTTTTGCGCTTATATCCTTTCATATGTCTATTTGATTTCATATTTTCTTAAATTAGGTGTTGTGGCCTATGTAGATATTCGTTCCCCTTTAGGGGGTGCGGTATCGGCGCTGACAAGAAATCTCACCACTCTCGGCGCTACAGTTATGTCAACTCGAAATTCTTCGGTTACTCATGTCATTTTTTGTAAAGGTGATCCTGACACTATGTACTGGGCAGAAAAACGCGGCATTTTTATCGTGACTCCAGCATGGGTTTCCGCCTGCAGCAAGGAAAAGGTAATTTTCATATTTTTTACTCCTCTCTCTTAGATTCGTGTTCCTGAAGAATGCTATTACATTAAAGAGAAAGAGGATGTTGAGTTGGAAAACGATTTTAAGCTTATTGCTATGAGAAATGCGCCTTTGGCAATATCTGGGCTCCACGATGATTCCATATTTTTCGGTGATCCTAATGTTAATAACACCTTACTTACCATTCCTGAGACACCAACTACAGACAAAAACTTTCTTGATAACACTGATATCAATTATCCCACATCTGCCAAACGTAGTCGTATGTGTGCTTTTATTCCTTCATATTTCAACTTTAGCCCCACCTGGTTGGAAGTGTTTACCCTCGCCTCAGAGGCCATGTGATTTGATGGCTCTGGTTGAATATTCCTCTTCAATGAGCGAACATCCTCATCCTCACATTGAGGATATCAAACGAATGCCCCTTTCTCCTGATGTCGTCAATAGTGTGGTCTACAATATTGCCACATTATCCGCTAACCGGGCACAAGAGAAAGTGAAGAAATTCCGGCGCGCTCCCGCACCACCATCTAAGCCTGCAGTTGTAACTCCAGAGGAAGAAGAAGAGATAATGAAAAAATCGTTATCTCCCGTTAAGCCTACAAAGAATCGAAATGTTAAACCTCGATCTTCTTCATTCCGCAAGGAACTTCTCGGAAGGATTTTTAGGTCTAAGCGAAGGTCCCCTGTATCCGATGTAACTATCGAGGATAATGTACAATCGAAAAACATCCTTTCTACAAAGTCCAGGACTGAGTCACAGCCAACATGCAAATCGACGAGATTATTGGCTAAAGCAAATTTAATTGTGATTGATTCTGAGATTAGTCTTAATTCGTCAACAATGAGTATATCTGTATGAATTTTCTTAAATTTTTCTTCCTCTTATCATTACACTAACCTTTTGCTTTCAACACAGTCATCTGAACCTCGCGACAGTTTGGACGATTTTATAGAAAATTCAAGTATGTTTTTTAATTCACATGAGTCGGTATTTTCTCTAAGAATCACGTTAATGCTTTGTTTTAGGAGTGAAGCAGAGTCGTCAGTCTAGATATTCCATCCAGACTCGAGATCCACCTATCGAAATTCTTTTCTCTGGATTAAGTTCTTTGTGAGTTGATGGATTGTTTAATCTCAATGTCTACATCATGAATTTATGTAACCTCAAATATTTTAATTTTATTTCATTTAATCTGCTGAGGTTTGTGTTTCTTCTCAATTTTTCTCTTCGTCATCAATGGAATGTTATTTCTAGTACTTTCGTGCTATCACTCCTGTCTCATCTAAAAGGGGGAGTTTGAGGGTTTTGTCCGTATGGAATGCATTCTTGTTCATCCAATGCGCGCCAATAATGTAGTGGTCTCTACGCAAATTTGTTTCAAGCCAGAGGCAGCAATAGTTATGCTATAGTTTGGTTGAACCTTCGGAAGCAGTCATAAAATCAGAACCCGATAGGAATGCGCGAAGACTTTAAAATTGGGCTTTAGTCCAAAATTGTCGGGTAACAATCCTTCCATTTTGCATGTTTGAGCTATTATACAAATTTCTGAAAATAATAATAGCGTTGGGTTACTTTTGGTCAATCTGCGAGTGAATTGGAAGTATAAATAAATGTAACGTCGAACTACTACTACTAGTGACTTATTTTCGCATCATTTTAATGCTTGATACACTTATATTAGTTTCAGCTGTTGTCTCTTTTGTACCTTTAAGCCAAAGACAAACTCTTATAACTCTGCTTCGTTCCTGTCCGAGCTTGAGCAAATACGAGATTAACCCATCAATAAACGAACGCCTCTGTGGCCCGGAGAGTGCAAATGGAGAATTCAGTGCTTCCTCAAATAGTCGTTCTACTAATGTCTTGGCTGCGGTTTTGGGTTTTTCCGATGCCACACGACGCTGGCGCCTTGCTGATCACTTTGTTCCCTCCTCCACAACTCATCTTGTTACTTGTCGAGTCTTATCCGCCTCCTCAGCCTTTCATTCGTGCCCTCGAACTGTCAACTTATTCAAGGCTCTCATGGGCTCTGTTCCAGTTGTGGATCAATCCTGGATTGAGGAGTCAGCAAAAGCTGGCAAGTGGCTTCCTCATCAACGATTCCTGGTGAGTTTTCTTTACTTTATCGATGAAACCATCATGTTTGATTTTTGTTCATCTTGTATAGAAGCGGCGAGTTACTTGAATAGATGGAAGAATGACAAACGCACTTTAGTGTTATTTCGTAACAATTAGTTGATATTATTTATTGTTCGTTTTTACGCTATGCAGCGGCCAATTGGGTCCTTAGTTTAATTATTTTGCCTTACATTTTATGCACATGGCTCGGCATAACGCATGATGGCTAATTACATACCCTAAGCAGTCTAAGTGTCTGTTTTATCCCTTAACAGTGGGACTCATGTCTTGACGTCTATCCTAGTTAAATCCAACAATAAAGCTATTTTCTACCGGATTTTGGGTTGACCTCGAGGAGTTCCTTATCAATATACCTAGTTAGTACCCTCTTCTAGTCCCCTGTATCCGTTACAGCATTTCGCTGATGTTCTTGGTCATCAAACTCAATTATTGCTCTATTTTATACCAAGCAATGCTGTTAGATTTTAGTGACATGCTTCATGTAACTTTCTCTTTTTTTCAGATTTCTGGTTTACCATCATCAAAAACTGCTTCCGCAAAGTTGCGGACTCTTTTCTCTAAGGTTGAGGGCATCTTTCTCGCCTCTGGTACATCTCCGCCGCCAAATGTTCTGAAAGATCTAATTATTGCTGGTGGAGGCAGTGTATGTGATTTCTGTTTTTTGAAGCTCGTTAATTTTATTTCATTATTGGTAGCGCGTTAGTTTACCTAGTCTCAATTCAACTATCTTGTTCCTTGGTATTCTTAGTCAAACGCTTCTTTTCTAATCTTTTTGCAGGTTTCAAGGCGACCTTTTGGCGCAACTTTAGTTGTTGGACAACATGATGCGAAAAGGCCTAGTGTCACTCCCAAATGGATTCTTGGTAATTAACATCTATATTACTTATTTACGTTTAAGTAAATATTCTATGTATAATTATTTTTGCTTATTTTTAGAGTCAATCCTGCATTACCGTCTTCTACCTTACAATAAATTTCAGATATTGGAATAATTTTCTCTCTTCTTCGTGTATTTATTTATGTAAATTCTTTAGGGTCCTTTATTTGGAGACTTTGCTCACTCCTGTATATAATACATTTATCTTAGAGAGAGAATTTCTTTTATGCCTTATATGGGTTGTGTGATGGCTGGGTGGCTACTGAGCCAAATTTGGTGGAAGGTAATTGGAGAGTCTACTTGAATCGTGCAAATATAATGGGTTGTTCTTTATTGCGTTTATAGGAATGAAATTTCGGGTGAGAACAAATGACAGTGGATCAATTGACTACTTTGCAAGTAATTTGTATTAAGATTTCGCTTGCATGGATGTTAAATTAAAAGAATTATTCTTGTTATGGCTGTGTGAATTATTTCATGCTCAGACACAATTCAGATGTTGGCAAATCTGACCAAAAACTGTGCTCTGCGAATTAGAAAGGATACGATTGCCTTCATTGTTCGAGAACGAAGTGTTCAGGGTGGAACCGAGGCCTGGTGTGAACTAAATCAGGTTAGTGTGGTTGTGATTGATTTTAAATGGATTTGATGCTTGTGAAACTTGAAGACATATAACGCAAATTGAGAGATTTTGTGGCTTTGAAGCTAGCAAAATCGCCTTTAGTAAGTGTTTAAGATATGACGGCACGTAAAATCTAAGTTGATAGTATTTTCATTACGTTCGTTATTATTTCATCAAGATTTGCGAATCTTCTCCAGAACTGAACTACCGCCATTAGCCCTCTCTCAGCCTTAACTTTTTGGTTTTGTTGTGTCTAAAGGCGAATTCTTGAAGAAAAATGTGTTGCGTTTTCAATGTTTGTCTTACCGAAAAATGTATTTCACGAAACTTTTGTGAATTTATGTTTACGATAAGTTGCTGCTGCTAGGATATTCTAGTTGATTTCTTCGTTATCTTGACTAGATCCAATTTCTTGAGGGTGCTTGCTTAAGTTAACCCTGAACCCGCATGATATGCAAATAATTATAACATTAGGTCACCTATTTTTCCTTTTAGCTTAAATTTTAACTTATTGAATGGCCACATTTAGATTATGGTTATTAGATTACAGTCAATTTTCATGACACTGAATGAAAGTAGAAGGGTTACAGTATCACTTTCTAATAGCCATGTACTTAGAGTTTATTATTGTTTAGCTATTAGTGCTGATTACTACTGAGCATCCTCTGAAGTGAAGAGTGATGAAGGTGAATAGTTTCGCCTCTTTTCCCAAAAATTTAATTCTTTTGAACTTTCAATTTTCACATAGGGACCGTCGAGTGGACACGAGTGGTAGCGTCTCGTGTATCCTCTTGGCTCCGAGTTAATAAATACTATGCAGTAATAAATAAAACAAATGGATCAATTTTGTCGGTAGAAAATACTTAGTACGGATAAAAATATAAACGTCTACAAAAGAATGTGAAAAGTCTATTTAAAATATCGAAATTAAGATGCACTATGAATTTTGGAGTCCCAAACCTGCTACTCGGTGGCAATCAGAATTGGAAACTCATTCCACTCTAGTCTAGTGTTTTCTCTGAATGCGTCTGTGAGGGCCTATCTCCGGAGCAGGATGAAATTTTACTCGAGGTCATTCCTGAAGAGATTCTGCTATGTCTGCGAGGCATCAGCAGTGCCAGTGTACATGGTATTAGCAGCAACGGAAGTGGTGTTCTCACATCTCAATCAAATAGCGCTGTTGGAAGCTCCGGTGTCACCCTGCCTCGTGGTCAGACTACTCTGCACAACTTTATTAACACTGCACGCAGTCTCAAGATTAAACTCGTCAGACGAAAAACACCCTGCTTAGCTCTCGAAGTTGAACAGGTTAATTATTATTTTATATCTACCTACTCATTTATTTAAGCGGTAAATAAAACTATTTGTTCTATTGCAGGCTAGTATAAGTGGACGTTCAAGAGCAGTTTGGCATTTCATTCCAGTGCACATTGTGCCTCTTCGACTTTGGTCAGATTTTGGGGATATTCCTGATCCAGATTTCGATGTAAGTGTGTTTTTCCATAGCTCAACAATTTTTTAGTTGAGTATCTTTCTTCCATCTATCAAGAGTCTTCGCCAATTTGTCGACCGTATGAAGCACTTTGCAAGATTCATTGTAGGTTCTTCCTTGTGGTAGAGATTACTTGTCGTGAGTAGATTATCAAGGCGACTGGAAGTGGAGTTCTATATTTGGAAATCAACATGGAAACTCTGGCCCGAGTTCGATTAACTTTCCGAGGACTTCGGGCTCGTAATTGGCATGTTTCCGAAGAAGATCGAACTTCTAAAGAAGACAATTATGACGAACAGGAGGCGTTTTCGGCTACGGTTGACATTAGACGATTTAGTCAACTTCTTTCAGCTCAACGGATTCAGCCCGGCTGGTTTGTCTGCAGTAAGTTTACTGCTTTCTCATAAATTTATTCTTTCGAGATTTCTCTTCATTCTCCCTCTTTTTGCCAACAGATATCGTACAAGATCATCTAATACAATTCGTCATGATGTTTGAACACTCGAGACTCAAGTATACCCTTCCTGCTTCACATATTTGAAACAGCCCATACTTTTGCTGTTATTTTTATACGAGCAATCATGTTCTTTTTCTTAATGTAAACATTTGCTATCCGAGTCCGTATTTGTGCTCTTTTAAACAATTAGTTCTTGCGATTACCTTAGGTTTCATAAAGGCATTTCTTTTGCATTTATAATTACTTCATGTCATGTGTCGCTCCATTTGGAGGGGGGGGGGGGGGGGGGGGGCTTGAGGTTCCTCGTTTCGTTACTCCGTAGTCGGGCGGGGCTTTTATGAACCTATAGATGCTCAAACTTCTAGACAAAGGTCTGTAGCCCAAACAATGCTTTTATTAAGAGAGATAAGCACTTTGGTGGTGATCTCACATAGCTCCCTATTATCATTTATTTATTTATACCAAATGGCAGGCGTTTTGATAGTTAGCATTAGCCCTTTAGTTGACTTCAGGCTTCACAGAGGGGGGTCATTAGCCATTTAGCTGACTTCGGGCTTCACAGAGGGAAGGTTCACCAAAGTAGAATAAAGGCGATGGGTGGGGAACAGAATAACATCAAAGTGAAAAAGGTCAAGAGGGGTGGGGAAACAGAAGGGTGCTTCAAAGATGTAGAAGAAACACAGACAAATGTAGAAAAAAGGTGAGGTGAGTACTACGGAAGTAGTCGAATATGACACAGTCGGGTGATGGTAGTTTGATGTCAGAAGTCAACTGCCAATTAGATTTTTTTGCCGTATGAGTATACGTTGCTCTGCGTGCCCCACGTGGAGGTAGGTCTATCGCACACCCCTCCCTATTATCATTTATCTCAGTCAATGGATCTTTCATGCAAATATCCCCTCTTTGGGTCGATTTAGTGCACAAATGTATATTTGGCATAATTCGATAATTGAGATTGATTCTACATCATTTGCCCTTCTCATTTAAGTGATAGTGGTCCCATCTTATTACATAGCTACACTTCCAAGAATATTGTATTTGACTTTGTTGGTAGAATAGATTTTTTCAAATATGCGTTATGGTAAGTAATAGAGTGACCCTGATCGATAATGGTAATGATTTTGTCTTAGTTTTGATGTGTTTCTAAATCAGGTCTTCTACAGAAGAAAACTGTACATGTAGCATCTACAAAGCGTATATTATACGGGATCATCCCTTAGTATGCTATACTGTGAACAAAAGATCAATCAGCTAGACGAAAACGACGAAAGAATCGAATAATATGCTATAAGAGGTATCTCCTTTATATTCTCCAAAGGTTATGGGTTTACCTTTTTATCAAGATACGTTGATCAAAAGACTAAATTTCTTAATAAGAATAACAGGTTCAATCTCAATGTCTAAAGACCTATGCATCACCTTCCGTCAAACTATCCATAAAACCCTAATCATAAATTGAGAATACTTTAAATTTTGAAGCGGTAATTTATTCGGGAGAACAATTACATGGTACCTATAGTCAAGCGATTCGAATATTAAATTAGAATAATCACAGCCGGAGTGATAACTCAAGGTATAAAATAATTACAATGCCAGTGTTAGGTGGATCGTATAAGTAATACAGTTGTAATAAAACTAGTCAAGAGTGTAAGAAGATGAGGTTGACATGTATGGTCGTTGGAATTGCATCCTGGCCAGTCATCACAAAAACAGAACAGTTTGTACATCTCCGTTTCCGGCCGAAGAACCCCCATGATCCACGATGCAAGCTCAGAGCCCCGGAGGATCCGTTGAAGATATCGCTGATTGGAAGCAGAGTACAAGCAGTATCCATGACGACGCACTTTGGGAAGGTCCAATCGAATCTGTGTTGTGAGCAGCATATCACTAAGGCAACCGCGAGTTATGGTCACCTGATCTTTAGTGATTCAGAAATATTAACTTTAGTAAACTTGTTCAATAATGTGAGAAATCAGTATAACAATAGTAAGTTATTAATATTTATTAAATATGCAAAGAATCAATTCATTTGAATCATTATTCTTTAGTAATTTATTCGTATTCATGAACCATCTTACCATTCACCTTCTCAATTATCTTAACACACATCTGCTCGTAAACTGGTGCGCCTAGACAATATTTCCAATGTTGGGTACGAACATCAAGAGGCGGACCACAACCACTTTGGGCGCTTGTGCAGTTATAGCACCAAAATTCTTTCGGCCACCCGCATGCAAACAATGCAAGCAAGCAAATCAGCAGCAATAGGCAATTCTTCATAATTTGCCAAAAATAATATATAAATAAAAACAGCTTACTTAAACAATCATGGAAATCAAAAGTGCATTTTCTAATAATAAACAAATCTTAAAGTTTTAAATAAGCAAACAAATTTAAAATATAATTTGGCATATTTATTTTTATTTATATTTTTAGAAGGATTAAGGTTCCTGAAATTCTACTTTTTCCTTTAAGTGCCATATTGATCACACCATGCCTAAATTGTATTTTTTTCTTAATATAATGGCTAAATGTGAGGCTGGCTAAGTATTCATGAATAATTGAAGCATCTGAAGTGAAAAATCGTTTTAGATTATCCTTGCGTTTCCATTGAAATTGTTTCCTTTTGCCAATTTTAAATTCTTTGTGTTTCTTTTTCTACTATTTTATGTTAATAAGTAGTTTCATGAAAATTAACCTCATATAATTGGTACTAGGATCTTCGATGTTTACCAGTTATCAAAAATACCCATATAATTATGCTGGTTTTAGGTATTAGAACTTAAAACTCTCTAAGGTTATAATAAAAACTGTATACTAATGCTTGTGAATTGCAAACAATTTTAATTTTTCAGGCTATTAATTTTATTTGTCGGTACAAAATATCCAATTATTTATATTCTCGGACCCCCACAAATTATCTTATGATGTATTAAGCAATTATAAAATCTAAGTATTGAGTATTTTAAATTTATATTATTTAAATAATTATTTTAGTTACCTAACTGATGCTATTCTGTTGCAATCCCATAAGCTTTTTTTATTTAAAACTGGATACTGTTTATTTATGTCAGCAAGTTGAGTTGACCATCCATTACTGATAGTACCACGATTAAAATCTCATTTACTTTATTTATTTGCACAATTTGTGAAACTCCATATTAATACAAACCTATCCAGTTAAAAACTTTATTCAAACGACTCATAGAGAAAAAACGATATCGGATCAGCCATACTTGAAAGCTATAACTCCATAAATGCGATTACTATTTAGCTATTTACTTCGTTTATTCGTATTTAACTTTTCCGTTTTCTCAAGTATGAACGCAGTAATACTGATGAAATTATAATTTATTTCGGTCAAAGCTAATTTCTCATCTCTCCTACCAATCTGTGCTATTCTAATACATTACCTTTAAAATTATTTCCATTCAGTTTTATCTCGAGCCCAATTTCAATAATTTTACTATTCTGCTGGAAGTTCGTGATGCAACTGAGCAAGAGCTCCCAAAAGCCTACTAATGGTAGTAACAAACTCAAAATAGATTCCCGGACATATTTTATATAATAGATTTAGGAGTGGAAAAAGAATTCTTGTCACTTCGGAAGACCTCTGAAAATATGATCATTGGCACATTAACTATTATCGAATCCACTTTGGGATTTTTATTAGAGCATTCTACCTATCACCAAGTTAGGTAATAAGGATGGGTCAATTGCAAAATAGTCTTTTGGCGCATTGTAATAACACTTATAAAGGACGCTACACTCATAAGCCTCGTCTAAACCTATTCGATTCTTTCTGGCAAAATCCACTCATATTAACTTGCTCCCGAAATCGACTCAGCAGTTTCAACGCTATCTTGGAGGCAGAACGTGTGGAAAGCGTTGCGAAATTAAAAAGTGATTTGCAAATGGGTACGGTTGGCACAACTTCGAAATAATATTAATCGCTGATTAGCTGAGAAGACCTCTGTACGTTTAACTACATACTCCAAATTGTTTTACCATGCAGGAATTTCCACAATTCCGCCACACAATCATATATATATATATATATATATATATATATATATATATATATATATATATATATATGACTTATTATATATGGTTATTGCGATATGGAGGCTTCTTTTCTAATTAAATCTAAATAAAGCTGGAATTGACCTCATATAAAATATTAAGTAATAAATTATATTTAACAAGTCTTAAATAGTACAATTATATAAACGGAACGAAATAAAAAAATAATGCAGTGATTGTCAGAGTTAATGGATTACGTGAAATGTGCAAGTTGAGGGCTATATTATTACAATAAATATTTACATGAAGCATCCTTTTTTCAAGCTTTCTGATATTGTGATTGATCAGTGGTCATCAGAATAACGTCCATAGCTGTAGAGTTTACGTTTTTCTGGGAAAGACTATTTCCGACGGTTGTTTCTGGCTTGCCCATCATTCCGGGAGACTTGACAATTATTCGGGATTAAAAATACTACCAGCCAGGCTGTACTTATTTCTCCATTCAATAAAATAAATAATTTTTATAATAATGCCTTTGGTTGGCTTGTTAAACTGCAGTCTGAGGCAATATATAAAGGCTAAATGGTTTATAGGGACAGAAACACGACTTTCCGTATCCTGGTTAACGAAGAAATACGTGAGATACTTTAAAATTTAAAGAGGAATCATACCTTATTTATAAACAACCTTATGAAGTATTCTGTGCTTTATATCTTTGTTCAGGTGTAGTTTTGTAGTCACATATATCATAACTCAATTCTATTTCACTTCATGACCTAATGAATCGACTACCTGAAGTTGTAAATGCTTTTACTATCGATTAGCGTTATTAACCGAATTCGCAATTTAAATAGAACAACACAAATTCGTAATCATGCGAATTAATAAGGGCAAGGTGAAAAATAAAGAATCAAATATTCCTTGATTCGACTAAACTTTCGAAAATTTAGTATAAACTCTACACCCGTAGCACTTAAAATCGGGCATTCAGATTGTTAGACTGGTCATTTCCCTCTCAGTTGCTCCGTTTCCTTTAATTGCCAAAAGCAGTTATTTGTGTCTATGGGTTGAAAATGCTTTTCAGGAGACTGAAATAAAAGCCGATGAATGTTTATCATTATAATGGAATACTATACCAACGGATAGCCAGATCTGTTTTCAAATGAGTTCAAGAAGTTAACTATTGAATGTTATACAGTAGGATTGGATTAAAAATTAATTCCTGAAGTTTGCATGAAAATGTTCTAACAGAAGTATTTCCGGAACTCTATTGCTTTTAGCCACTGCAAACAAACTGCTCTAAAGTCCTGCAAACATGATGTAATTATTTTTCTGAAAACAAGTAATTAGGCAAATATGAATCGATCGACTCGATTTCTCCAAATTAAAGAAACTATATTATATCCTATTTTAGCAAGTTTGAATAATAAGTATTTCATCAACTAAGAGAAAATTTTAACTGGATGCATTCCTATCAAAAATGCCACTAGAGGAAATAGAGGATTCTCGATTGCGTTTCGTCTTCGATTACTTACAAGTTGTGACAGACAGGAAAGTAGACAAATTATTAAAATTAAAGGATGATGCAGACATCATTGAAAAAATTTTGAAGTACTTCGAGAATCAAGAAGAACTTATAATGATTATAATTATCCCTCCCAGTGGCATCATGGAAGTTTACAACCACTTTCCTGCAGAAATGAAGGGCAAAGGTTACTACTTCATAAAAAACCACCCTGCTGTTTTTGAAAAGCATGCTGATTTAGCACAACTTAAATCAGGAATCACTTATGGGGATCTTCATAAATCACCGATTCATCATTTCACAGCCTTCGTGAATTCCGTTTTAGCTCCGATTATTCTCAACGAAAAGAACCGCGAAGATTGGCCAGAATCCTTGAATCAGAATATCAAAAGGGACCTCTACAATCTTCAGAAAAAGTCCGAGTTCGTGCTCGAAATAATGGAGGGGAGAACACATTTAACTCTTCCCAAAAATCTTGACAAACTAATTTCGGGACAAGATCCTGTTACGGCTAAGTAAATTTCTATCAAGATCTATACCTGTTTTCGATTCTACAGTCTGACTTTTCTGTTTTTAAAGTGGTGAAGATGGAATAGGTAGTATGCTCTCTTCAATTGAAATGACCGTGGTTGACTGGAATAAGAAGATTAACGAATGTCTTGAACAAACCTCTTCGGCTTCGGTTCCAGTTGGAGAATTTGCGTTGCCGTCTCATGAATTCGACTTTTGGAATCAGCGTATGAAGTCCCTTCAGGATATTTACGAACAGTTATTAAATCCAGAGGTCATGAGAATGGCTTCAATTTTGGAGGAAAATGGATCAGCTTATACCTCGATGTTCAAAAAGCTTTTCAAAAAGGTCGTAAGAGGTAAGCTTAGGGCAATATTTTACATTTACATTGAAAAAAGCTTATTTTATATTAGCCAAACAAGACTTACATTTAAGATTTGTCGATCATAGTAAATAATGACTTAGTTTGGATACTTAATAAAACGCAATTATTACTCATACTAAAATATTAAATATTATAAAATATTTTTAGGGGGATATTTTTTCATATTATTTTTCATGGAGAGTGAAACAAGTTGGGGGCATTGTGGTCAATGATTATAGTTTCTAAAACAATTAAGAAACAACTCATTGAGTCTAAAGTAATGCACGCCCACAAAAAGCCACTTTCACAACTTGGTTGAGTTAGGCTCAGGTATATCCTCTTTAAATATTACTCCAATTAGGGAAGTACATGGACAGAATACATCAACCTTTTCATGAAATCAAAAGATTGAAAGCTGATATAGACCACTAGTATACTGGGCTTTGCCTATGTGGAAAAGAAAAGCGTAGAATAGATATTTGGAAAGGAAAACTGGCGGACACACTCAAAATGTGAGTGTGGGAGCTAAGTTATAAGTAAAAGGGCAACTTCACTAATTCCATCTAGCTTATACGACTCTTGGTCACTTATTAGGTACTGCTTACGAATGTCATGCTGCTGAGACCTGACATGGCAACTAGTTTAAGCAGGTCAATGGGTCAAAATCGCTAAAATGTAACATTTCTTTTAAATTTATATCGTTCAATTAAAGCAAATGAGTAATCAACAGATATAGTTTTGATGGTGTCAAAAATTTCCCATTCTGTTTAATCTTGCCTGAGTAGATTTTTTTCTCAAGTCGAATGAAGCCTATTTTACTTCAATCTGTAGGTACTGTTGAAGCTGAAGACATCGTCATCTACCTCAGTCCATTACTAAAATACTTAAACGAGGTAGAAGCAGCAGGTTTTGAGGAATGCAAGCCGAAAATTCAGCCAATAGTCCATTTGTTAGCATTAATTTGGATTAATTGTAATTATTATCGTGATTCTAAAAGAATGGCACAACTTATATCTGAGATTGGAAATTTTATCATTCAAATGGTGAGCATAAACGTCATAGTTATAAAATAGAATGAAGGGATTATAAATACTCCTTATTTTAGTGCCGAAGTTTTTTGGATCCATCAGAAATTGTAAAAGAGGAACCAGATGAAGGATTAAAGAAAATAATTGATTCTCTGGATATTCTCAACCATTTTCGCTTAACAGTTGATGAATATCGAGGAAAAGTTAGGGCTTCTTGCAACCAGAGAGATATTAAGCCATCCGAATGGAAATTTCACAACAGCTGGATTTTCAGTCGTCTTGATGTCTTCATCAGTAGACTTGAACTAATCAAGGCTAGTCTTTTGGCTTCAATATCATTGCATTTATATTGGTTGATATTGGTGACTCAATATCCCTTTTATTTTAGAAATACTTCCTTTTCAATATGGATTATAATCGTCTCGAGAAAGTTGAGGCATTGGGAGTGGAAGGATCAAAGCTTTCAACGAGGCTTCTTGAAATATACGAAGATTATCAGAACGCCTATAAAGGTTTCACTGATCTTAGTATGGACTGTCTTTCCACAGAAGATAAAATTTTTGAGAATGAGATAGAGAAGTACTTTAAGTTCATTGAAGCTTACGACCGCCGAATGTGTTCAATTATACTGCAGAGTTTCAATACTTGTCCAGATGTCACTGCAATGTTCAAGACCATTTACATGTTCGGATCTTTAATGGAGCGTCCTTTGATTAAGTCACATGTTGACCACTGCTTCCAGAAGCTGTTGGAGATGATAAATAAGGATTTAGATGTCTGTAAGAGGATTTTAGATCAGCATGTGGGTAATTCCGAGCTGTTGGAACAGGCAGTTTTCAAAAATTTCCCTCCAGTGTCTGGAGCAATTGCATGGTCAATGCAGATTCAACGGCGTGCTGATGCATTGATGAAACCGTTAAGTGATATTATCAATCAGTACGTTAATGCATTTAGAATAACAAAAGATGTTTCATAACTTCAATTCGGCAATATCATTCATTAATTTGATTTATCATGATGCATCTTCAATTTATCCATAGGGTAACAAAATCTGAAGCTGTAGATGAGGTGAAAAAGAAGCATGCGGAATTAGTCTCTATTCTTTCCAAGTAAGTTTTTATTGATGCCACTAAATTTTATTTATTTCAAATGGCGGGCTTTATGACACTTATCATTAGCCCTTTAGCTGACTTCGGTCTTCACAGAGGGAAGGTTCATCAAAGTAGCAGAAAGTCGAGGGGTGGGGAACAGAAGAGCGATTCATAGATGTAAAAGAGGCAGACAGACACAAAGGTAGAGAAAAAGGTAAGGTGAGTACTGTGTAAGGGGTCGAATATGACAACCAGGGGGATCGTGGTAGTTTGAAGTGAGAAGTCAACTGCCGGTTAATAGACTTTTTTGCCGTATGAGTATACGTTGCCCAGGGTGCACCACGTGGAGGTAAGTCTATCGCACACCCCTGATACCACTAAATTAGAAGAGAATTCCAGATTAGGTGCTAGGAGGAGAGGAATGTAACAA